CCCATCTCCCCTCCCCTCCTCCCCCCTCCAGTCCTGTCCTTCCCTCTCTCTTCTCTCTCAATCTCTCAATCCCCCTTTCTTTTCTTCTGTTTCCAAATTTCTTTTGACCAACATATTTGCTGAAATTTAGAAAAGAAATGAATACTTCATTGATCGTTCTTCAACAAAGAGAATTACTGACATTTTCAAATATTTACAGAAATGTTTTGAATTGATAGTATTGCTGCCTACTCCTATAACATATGTAACATTGGGGCGGCCAAGACAAAGGAACACCCGGATCGCTCTTCCCTGATGGCTCATGCGCTGCTGGTTTATAGATTCAGACTGTGTCACATGAATTTTATTACTCATTCTAAAATGATTCTAAGTTTTGGTTGACTGGTTAATGATTTTTCCCTCAGACCAGGTATTTCTCCCGCTTCTCACTTCCTTCACCCCTTCCTGAAGTTTCCCACGTTCTTTTATTATTTTTTAAGTTTATTTTTTTTCAGTCATCTCTACACCCAAGGTAGGGCTTGAACTCATGACTCTGAGATCAAGAGTTGCACACTCTTCCAGCTGAGCCAGCTGGGCAACCCCTAAGGTTTCCCACATTCTGTTCTTTCCTTTATCCCCCTCACAGTCAAAGTTGAACAGATTTAGTACCAACAATCTTCTCCAATAAGAGCTGGAATATTTCTGGCATCCTGAGATTGTTAGCTCTTGTCCGGCACATTTGCTAAACCAGGAAGGTGAGTGCTTTGTCAGCCAGACTCTGGTGTAAATCTAAGTCTGCTTGTCCAGTGCTGCACTGGACATAACACCGAACACGCCGGAGCCTTTGCTTGCTCACCTGTCAAATATAATACTAATAAGGACTTTGCTGGGTAGTTGTGAGAAAAATGTTGGTCAGTAACGTGGAGCCTCAGCACAGTGGTTGGCCTCACACTCCTGCCCAAACAGAAAGGGCAATCGCTTACTCTTCGGTGCCCCCTCCCAAAGTTCTCTCCATCAGCGATAAAATCATTTTTCTGGGGTGATGTTAAATGTCCTGAGGGCGTGTGTTTCTCTTTCTTGCTTTACTTGAACTTTTCTTGTTCCTTTTTCACTGAATCCTGCTTGTGATAACTGTACTTCCCATCAATACCTAAGTAGATAGGTTTGCATTCATTTTTCTCCACATGTAGACTTAAGGAAGGCAACCCATGTAAGCATTATCTTTAGTTTTCCAAACCTAGCAAGCATGTGTCATATGTATGAAAAAGTAAAAATAAAAGTGTGAAAAATAATGAGAAGTAAAAATAAAGCTCCTCTCACTGATCAAGAGCAGAAGAATAACGCATAGTAAAGACTTTCTATCATGGCTTTGGAGAATAATCCGTCATGGCTATTGGAATTCTCAGTTTAGGCTTTACAAACCTAAGTTAACTGCATGGATTTATGTAAAAGTGAATGCCTTTGGAGTCCTCTGTAAACTATTTAAGTGACTTAAAATATTTCAGTCACAGTAGTCAAATAAATCTTCAAAAATGCCACAATTTGTTACATAACTAAATAATTCTGATTTTGATTTCCTCTAAATTTGATATTCCTCTAAATTCCTCTCAGTTATCCTCTAAGATGAATCTGATACCAGGGACATTGGTCATTTGGACAGTCTTTTGGTGTGTGAACCGTGCCAGGCTATTGGATTGAAGTGTGTAAATTACAGTAGGTTTTTTGGATCGGTTTTCTTGCAAACATCCATGATTTGCTTTGCATGCATGACACAGTTGAAACAATCGCTTGCTAAATTAACAAATCTCTTGTGCGATGGGATGACTATCCATTTAAAAGCCACTTTGAAAGGCTATGGCACTTTTTTTAGACCCATTTTGGCTTTTTTCTTGATAAAGTTGTAAATGAGCTCATGAATGACTAGACACAGAATTACAACCTTGTGTTTATGGCTGTAATAATGTAACAGAGCTGGACAAAACCATTGCCAGATGGGATTGCCAGTCATTGTTCTAAGTATTGTACGCATGTTTTCTGTGATACAATGCTGGTGATCACATTTGACAAAGAAGCTGACTTTAGGGACATTAGTCACTTGAACAAAGGTCCCGGCGCCAGTGGGTGGCATGGTACAGGTGCAGTTGAACCAAGGTCCCTTGTAACCGGAACTGTGTGATCTCTGCCACCACGACCCAGCTGTTCTGCTTCCTCGAGAATCTTGTGTGGGGAGACTAATACAGTTTTCATCCCTTCTGATAAACATTGATCTTACACATTTTGATATTCACTTTCATTAATTTTGCATGTTTTTCCCTAGGTGCACATATTCAGTTTCTGAATTTTTCTACCGAAGCTAATCACGACTACCTTGAAATTCAAAATGGACCCTACCACACGAGCCCTATGATCGGGCAGTTCAGTGGCTCGGACCCCCCCTCCGCCCTGCTCAGCACAACACACGAAACGCTCATCCGCTTCTACAGCGACCATTCCCAGAACCGGCAAGGGTTTAAACTCGCTTACCAAGGTAAGGAATCAACAGAAATCCAGACATACCTCTTCCCCTTAGACTGTATTGAAATATAAACCTCCCTCATTGGTGGAAACTGTGCGGCTGGACCCACTGGTTCTCCGACTCGTCACAGAGCCCGTGCTGTCCGTGTGCGCAAGCAGAGGCATGAACAAGGACCACGGTCAGCCAGTCTGTCATCACAGCCTCACGCTCATGCCTGCCCAGCGGTCACCCCTTCCCGTGGCCGACGCCACACTCCTGAGCCACTGGCTCAGCATCACACCCCTTCCCGCTTGCCTCTGAGCCACGGGTCCGTCGTGTCCCTTCTGGACTGTGCAGTGGGGAGTCTGCTCACAGTGGCAGTGGGCCTGGAGCGTCTCTCCTGCCCTGGACCTTGTCTCAGCTCAGAATATTGTCTAAAGGTATTATTCAAGTCATTTCGAATTACGTCAGAAAAACAATCCAGTGCATGAACTTCACCTCTTTTTAAACCATCTAAATATCAGACTTTAAGACAAGTTTGAACCCAGCATTATCAAACCATTTCCGACATAAGAAAAAGTTCAAAATTTTCCTCTCGTACCCAATAATTTGGCCTTTCTTGAATATCATTAAATCAAATGAAGCTGAGAATGTCAACAATAGGGCTTTTCTTTCTTATTTTTAACATGATTAAATCCTTGCTTTCTTTAATTTCATAGACTGTTTTTGAAATTAAGGGCTTTAATATTTTCTTAGTGAAAGGTGATGGTATTTTATGTTGAAGTTTTAGATGTTGTCACTTAAGTTATTACTTAAATATAAAATATACATTTAGATTTCCAAATTTGGGGTCTCTTAAAATATAAAATCCAGATAGGAAACAAAAAGAGGGGAATAAAGCCTGGACCAGTGAAGAATACAGCAGGAGGTGTGGCCGAATTCTCTGTGTACACAGTGTCCTTCATTGCTTCCGGCTCTACCTCCTCCCCGTGCCCCTCAGGAAAGTGTCACCTCCTGCTTGAGAGATGCGCACAGATACACACACACACACACACACAGGTGCACACAGAGACACACAGGTGCACACACATACAGAGACACACACAGAGTTGCACACACACAGGTGCACACACATACATAGGTGCATGCACACACAAAGGTGCACACACATAGGTGCACACACACAGGTGCACACAGAGACACACAGGTACACACACGGGCACAAACACAAGTGCACACAAAGACACACAGGTGCACACAGAGACACACAGGTGCACACACATACATAGGTGCATGCACACACAAAGGTGCGCACACAGGCACACACACAGGTGCACACACAAAGGTACACACAGGCACACACACAGGTGCGCACACACAGGCACACACAGAGGTGCACACAGAGACACACAGGTACACACACGGGCACACACACAAGTGCACACAGAGACACACAGGTGCACACACGGGCACACACACAGATGCACACAGAGACACACAGGTGCACACACATACATAGGTGCACAGGCACACACACAGGTGCACACACAAAGGTACACACAGGCACACACAGAGGTGCACACACATACATAGGTGCATGCACACACCGGTGCACACACACACTGTTGCACACACACATAGGCGCATGCACACACAAAGGTTCACACACAGGTGCACACACAAAGGTGCACACACACACAGAGGTGCACACACATGCAGGTGCACCCAGAGGCACACAGGTGCACACACATGCAGGTGCACACACACACGGGCCCACACACGTCTATTTACATATAATTTTTAATGTACCTTTGACTCCTGTCTTTCTTCAGCTTCCACTTTCTGGTAGATATTTTTTGAGGCATTATGCACACCAGCTTCCTCAGTTTCTATGTCTCTTCCTGCCTTGTCTTTCCTGTTCTTATTTAGCCTTTGACCCACCATCGTGTCCACACCGTCCTCCACTCCAGCAGCCCTCCATGTTGCTAAATGCCACATTCATGCACCACGTCCTGTGTTCTTGGTGGCGTTGCGCGCCATCCCCACTGCTGGTTCAGTGTCCCGCTCCCTTGTTCTGAGGGACAACACCGTCTCTTTGGCTGATTCCACTGGCCCACGGGCTGCTTCCTTCTTTGCTTTTGGATTCACAACCTCCCATGCAGGGCTCAGTTGGAGCCCCCTATTTTCATCATTCACTTCCCCCGAGCGTCCTCAACACTCCTGGATTCAAAGATGGCAGCAGCGATGAGTAGCGGACAGCTCTGCCGCTAATCTCACCAAGTCAAGTTCCGTGAGTCCCGGAACCGGATGTCTGTCCCACTGCTGCACCTACCCTGGGCGTCACGCCAGCACTCAAACCCTGTGTGCAACACTGAGCACATGATTTTCTTTTCCAGGTCAGCTCATCTTCCAGTCTTCCCCAGTTCTCTGACTAAACAGTGCACATTTTAGCCAGTTGCTTCAGCTATAAACCTGGTGCTGGTCTCGACTTCTTGCCCCCTCTGCTGCCGACATTACCTCCACCATCGTCCTTGCCCCAGCTCTGCAGTATCTCTGGGGTCCTGGCAGATCCCTCAGTCAACATCACACACCTCCTCCTAACCACTCTCATCTTTCTCCTAGAAAACTGTCAGACTCTTTAAAGTCTTACCACATTGATTCCCCCTACTTCAGAAGCTAAGGCATCAGCAGCCCTGGTATCTACAATTAAATGAAAAACAACTTCGGACTTAGTAAGGAGACACATTATCTGAAAGGATTATTTATTGCCCTGGGAGAAGAGGTCTATTTCAATAGAAAGAACAATGCTCTGACCATAAGATAAGCACAGGTTTCCAGGGTTAGGGAAAAGGCGTTTTCCTCTCTACAGATGAGGGACAAGCCTATGGGCACTGGGTGTGGGGAAGCAGGAGAGGCCATGATGGGTGGTGGGCCAGAGAAGGTCTTACCTGGAGGCCGACTTGCTCACGGGGGCACTGGCTGCTGGCTCAGGCTGGGGGCGCCAAGAGACTGGGACCTGGTGGAGGGGGAGACCAGTGTTGGGTTGGCATGCGTTTTGTTCTGACCCATCAGTGGGAACAAGCAGTTCAGCTAACCATTTCTGAGACAAAGAACGAGATTTATGTCTAGTCAGGTCATAGGCAAACAAAGGTGCTCCTGAGTCTTATCTAAGCGGTAGGTAGGGGAAGGTCATGGAATGGAGGCATTTCTGGGCACAGAAAAGAGTATGAGTGTGTGTGTGTGTGTGTGTGTGTGTGTTGGGGTTTTCCCTCCCCTTTCCTGGTGAGAAGGCTTTTGCAGGTGTCTGAGAGAGAGAGATGTGCATTTCACCTCGACACACCTTCCCTTTGTTATGCCCCCTTTATCTGTCTGTGTAGCTGAATTGAAAACTTGAACAGTATTTACTATGAATTCCATGCTTCTCTTTCCTATTTTTATACATCTGATTTCTACCCTTTCCCTATTTCTATTGAAGTATATTTTGTTGAAGTGTGAACATTTCATTCATGATCATAATTTTAAACTTGGTTTTTATATGGTGCCCTCCATTGTTCAATTGGCATGAACTTAATGTATGAGTCAATAAGAAAAAATATACATAATCACATTTCTTCCATAAGCTGCCAATTAAGTGATTTATCTCAGTTGATTTCAAGAACTTTCGAAAAGTCTTCTCCATTTTGAATTTTTTTAATACTGTATTCAGAATTTAACTTTTGTTTCCTTAGTGACCTCCAAAAATCAAATACAAATTCCCATGAATTTACATGGAGGTTTTGGAACTATTCTTTGGTATAGTTTTGAAACTACATTTTATCTTACATAACTCTAACCTCTATAGGTCAATTTTTTTTTTGTTTTATTTCTCTTGATATTTTCCAGGTAGGGTTATTAAGGCCGTATCTACACAGTTCTAAAGCTATCAATTACTTAAATCCAAAAAGAATGTTCTAAAATAAACACACACACACACACACAGAGTCTAAATAGGGATTATCTAGACAAGAGGTCATAAATTGCTGCAGTTAGCTGGCAAAATATCATTTTTAAAATTTAAATTTTAAATATTTAGAATTAAATTTCATACAATTTGTGAAATATCCATGGATCCACTTTCCTTTATCTTGTAGTGTCAGAATCTGCAAACATTTGGTCAGTGTTCACATGGAGGGACAGTCCCCTCAAGTGTCATAGTGATGGCCCCTTGCAGAGTAGAAAGGCATTGGCTTCAAAAGTTTCCTTTAGTCCCTGCAAGCTTTGATCATTGATGTTGTCTGTGTGGCCTTTAAACATTTTATTTGGTGAACTCTCATATCAGCCGAACATCTGGTTGGCTGAGAAAATGTTTTATTTACTTGATGCCTGACTCTGTTTATCCAAGTTAAAAATAAATAAATAAATAATTCCTAAGCAATATATTTTTTATTGTAGGCAAATAATTTCCTATAAATGAGAGCTATAAAAGTAAATTAAATAAAAAGATTGGGAACATGAATTTGAGGTGTTCCAATGGTATCATATCTGACAGGGATGACAGATAGTTCATCAGTGTTTGTCATCTTATAAAATTTATAAATGGGCAAAATGACACAGTTCTGACTTGTATGTCACATCAAAATTCCTAGGTCCTACTAGAGATTTATAAGTTAAGCTTATAATTAATAACTCATAAGAAGATGCATTAGTCATGCAGATAAGTCTTGTCATTCTCAGTGATATCTATGTCGTACCCCTTATTCTTAAGCCTTGTCATTTATTTATGGCCATATAAAGGTCAAAAATGTTACCGTAGTTGTAGCTGTCCAGAAGTTAAATGACTTATACAGAACTTGAGAAATGGAAGGTGAAGAGCCGTGTTGAATAAAATTGAGTTCCTGTACCCTATTTCTAAGTCAAAGATTGAAAAACGAAGGGCAGTATGAAGATTTTTATCAGTTCTTTAGATATTGGAAAATATAATGGATATCAGAAAAATGACTACATGATCCCATTGGCGGTCACATTACACACCTATAATTTAAACACTTGATACCATAGTGCTTGGGATTGATAGATGTGAATAATAGTTATTCTCCTAGATCCAAACAAATGATTCCCCTATGAAAGATAAAATTCGGTGGGTTCCTTTACTTTTATAATATTGGTATGGGCTTATTGGTACTTAGATTTTCATAATGTTTGTGACATTTGGGGCCATTAAGAATTTTAGTGACTCTCTTTTGCTTTTGGTTTTTGTAAGTCAACATTTGGAGAAGTTAAGTATTCCTCTCTCTGTCTCTCTTTCTTACATTATAATGTAATAATGTCATGCCAAAAAAAGAACTTACAGGTAATTTTAATTACTTTAGCTATAGGAAGTAAAAATGCCTTCTTTCTTCAAAGATCCACTCTTTCTCATTTTCCTTTTGCTCTATGTACTAAGCACATTTATTTTTTTAAAGGGATAAGTTAAATCTTCTTACTCATTTATTCAATCACAAAACTGTTGAATTTGAGTGAATTGAATCTATGAGAAAAGAGGCATTCATTTGTAGATACAGATTTTTCCCCTTTAGGAGCAAAAGCAATCAAACTGCCTACATGTGCAATGAGCAACAGAAGGATACCTTCTAGCTGATTGTATGAGCACACCAACTGTTCCTTATCGACACAACCACACTTTTCTGCATGAAATTCATGTGCCTCTAAAACTGAGTTGCTCTTTTTGCTTTCACCATGATATTCTGAGCCACCATGGGTTAATGAGAAGAGCGAGGTTGGGGGTCTACTCTATCCTTTTCACCCATCTGCATGAGTGAATCAAGTTCTCAACAGGCAGCTCTTTATATGGAAGACTATCTCACATAAAAATGCTGAAAACAGTGGACAACTAGTAGCTGTATCAATTCTCATCCCTCTCGGGCATCCTAGTTTAAGATGGAGAAAGCACTGACGGTGGTAGTCCATTTTATAAGCTGACCCGCTTTTTCCCTGCAGACCATACGGATTTGCTTTTCCTTTTATGGGTTGGCCTAAAGTAGAGGTAACAATCTCAATCAGCGTCTCCCTTAAGAGACTCATCCCTCTACACCAAAAACACACCTGGACAGTACATGTCAGCTATGTCTCCTAGGTGACGGCCCCTTCAGATGCCCACATCTCAGCTGAGATTTGCTGCGTGCTCCCTAGTCAGTCCTTCCCAAGCTTCTGATGCAGGGGAGGAAGTGGATTCTCAGTGTAGTGTGTTGCCTGAGAATCCAACAGTTCCTTTGGATTAAAATCAGACTTTCTCTACAATGTAAAGGCCATCATGAAAAAAGTCTACTAAGCACTCCTCCTTGGTTGCTCAAAGCACAAGACACAATCACAGTCACAACTGGGAGCAAGCAACTTGGCTAACCATCCCCCAGCTGAGGCTTTGGGCTGCCCAAAAACCATGGGATTGTCTGCAACCTTAGCAACAGTGTAGGTTGGCTTCGTTGGTAGCTATTGGGATCAAGAAGTTTGCATAACCAATAAAGAACATTGCGGTGGATAATCTAACTTAACTGTGAGAACCAGGATCATTACCTTGTTACAATGGAAGAGAGATCTGCCATCCTAGCCATCGTAACAGCCAGTCTGGGAAACAGGGAGCTTATATACGGGTGCACTTCAGAAATTCTGTGGATTACCAGATGTGGCTTAATGCTCCTGGGCCCCCAGCTCGATTTTTTCATGGAGAGGGAAGTCAAGCACCTGAGGGAGGCTTCAAAGCCATATTCAGTGTAGACATGGATTCATCTGCAACCTCTCCTCCTGTAACAAGGCTGTGAGTAAACATGTGTGAGTCTGTGTGTTAAATGCTATTTCACGTGACAATTCATTAGGAATCTCTATCAACTGTTACCTTGTTTATAACATATTGTGATAACTGATGCTTGTGTTGATACCCCAGAGGCACTGCTGAAACAGGAATGGAATCTTTCAATGAGGAGGATGCTATGTTGAACACAGTTTCATTTGATTCTTCTCACATGGAAACCGCCCTCCATATATATATATATATATATATGAGTTTTTATTAGCAGTTGTATGTGATATATTAGAAGACTCATTTCTCCAACAGAGTTTATTATATTTCAAGCAAAACAAGAATGAGAACAAACTGCTGATTTTATTCTAAAAGAGTATAATAAAGAAGGAAATTGGTTGATAGTTGAAACACAGTATGGGGTTCTGTTCTTTTTGTGAACATGGGTCTATATAGTAAATTTTGACTCAAATAAAAAGATTACAAGGAGGCATACCATGCACTGTGGATATTTGCTAAGCCATTTGGCCCTGGATTTCAGAAAAAGACTGTTTGCAAGGCTTTCAGTGTGGGGTGGCCCTTGGGAGAGGTGGGCAGCCTTGCTGTGTGTTTGCCAGGTTGGCCCAGAAAGGGGCACAATAAGGGGAGAGAGAAAGGGAGTGTGTGTGCACGTGTGTGGGGTGCTTGTGTGTGTGTATGTGTGTGTGTGCATGCATGTGTGTGTGGTTTGTGCACGTGTGGTGTGTGCATCTGTGTGTGTGTTCATGCATATGTAGTAGAAAGAGAGAGACACACACACTGATTTGTCTTGGCTTTCTGTTCTCACGGTCCCTATCTTTATATGCATTGCATAGTTTTCTAAGCTTCTAGTTTTCGAATAGGAGGTGATATTATAAAAGCAATTGATAATGACAGACAGGCCACTAGGCCGTGAGGTATTTTCCTTCAAGACGTATTTTTTTTCATACAGGTTTGAATACTCTTTTCTTTTAGACAGCTATAGATTTGTTCCCTTGAAGTCTGGTACTTTGTAGGAGATTTTAACAGTCAAATACTGTACTTATAAGATGAAGACAAATAAAATTGGAGAGCATCTTTGTAGACTGTGCAGTTATTGTCTTGATGCTAGATTGCTAATTCCAAAATTGTGAGTTAAAAGCACTTTTTCTTTTGCAAATGGTTATTAGAGCTTTGAATTTCAATAATAATTGTGATTATGGTGCTTATTGATCTGGAAGAAATCCTTAAACAGGTCATTTCTCCTTCTCATTGTCTTAGGAATTCCATGTTATAATGTGGCTTCACCAAAAAGCAGCCCCAGAAAACTCATTATATTATTGGTAAATTTTTGATTTTGTATAGATGAAAGTTTTTCTCCTTACGGAGTTCTAAATGTTACATGTCATAGCAGTGAGTTAAGAATCCTCCAGTAACGTTTTTCCTCTTAGTATCCGTATATCATGCATGTAATTCCCTACTAATAATCAAATGTGCTACAAATAAGATGGAATAAATTTATGTTTAGCACATTGCAGTTTATAAAGTCCGCTTGCATGAATCACGCTATGTGATCTCCACTCCGATCTTGTGGAGCAGACAGCGCTACTCCTGGGCTAGTCCAGTGGACAGCAGAGGGCAGGCGTGGGGCAGGTGGGGATTCCTGCACGGCCCCCTGGGGGTCTTTGTCTCCCTCCAGGTTCTTCCTGGTTCCTCCCCCTGGGGAAGCCAGTGCCAGGAATTATCTCAAGCTGCTGAAAAACCTTTGCATTGATGCATCTTCAGATTTCTGCTTCCTGCTTGCAATCCCTCTTTAGCTGTTTATCTGACTCTTGTCCAGAGACATACAATTGCAAATATCAAAATAAGTAAGGAAGTGAAATTAAGGATTTTTTAATCTGCTAACTGCAGTGAGGGTTTAACCATACTGTTAAAATTTAAAAATTTATCTCACAATTTGGGAACTTGCAAAGACAGTGTGCCAACTGCTGTATCTTTATTATACTGAAAATGTAAATATGATTTATTGCATAAACTATATCTTATTAAAAAGATTGTACTGATAGTAATTGCTAGTGCAGTGCTTCTACAGAACTTTTTTTTTAAATAAGAAAATGGAATGGATTTTTTAAATTTTATTTGTAATGAACAATTAATTAAAAATCAAAACATAACAACCACATTATTTCTTAGTCAATAACACTTAGAATGGAGTGCTAGTATAATTCTCTTTTAAACTAGAAAGAAATTAGGTCCACATTCGCCTGACATTCTTTATTGGGAATTTTTTTTTATCATTTGTTTTACTTTTTTATAAAAGTCAATTCACACTATCTACTTTTCTTCCAAGGTAAACACCATCAGATAGATTGTTGGTATGTGGTTTACTACTTCTAAAGCACACAGTTAGCTACTTATTAATTGGAAGTTGTTATAATTCTGTTACTACTAATAATTACTGTTTTACTTAGGATGGTAAGTGGCAACTTGGAGAAGATACATTTCAAAACTTAATGAAAACTTTGGTCTTAAGAAACTGTATATAATCATAGCCTTCTGAATTCCAGACTAACTTAACTTCCTGTAGTTGAGCTTGATTCTGTCTGTTTCAGCCTATGAACTACAGAACTGCCCAGACCCACCTCCTTTTCAGAATGGTTATATGATCAACTCGGACTACAGTGTGGGACAATCCATTTCTTTCGAGTGTTACCCTGGGTACATTTTAATCGGCCACCCAGTCCTTACCTGTCAGCACGGGATCAACAGAAATTGGAATTATCCCTTTCCAAGATGTGACGGTAGGCTAATCGTTCTTGGCAACAATATAATTTTTCACGTATATAGTAGTGCATTAATTATTAAATGGACATATTAAAAAATCCATTCATTTATTCAACAGATATTTATTAGGAATCTGTTATGTTAAACTCATTCTACTTATTATTTCAGGAATATATCGTATGCCAGTAAGTTAAAAATATGAATAAATAGGCCTTGCCCTCAAGGAAATTGTAAAGAAAACAAAATAATAAACACAAATATGTATAACACAAACCAGACACAAGCAGAGTGTTTTGATGAATTGCGTGGAGAAGGATGGTGTTTGCTTGGGAAGTGACCAGGGAAATCTTTATGATGGTAGTAGTATTTAGAATTACAGTCCTTCCACCAAATTACGGGATTAGTGGAGGAAAGGATGCTTATTAATTTTACCCTGGATTTTTTTATTTTTTTATTGTTTAACTTTTACAGTAATCATATATTGCTTTTGTATTTTAGCAAACTGATTTTATTTTTGTAGTGGGCCTTGAAGTATATATACTATTTTGCTATTCAGAGATGGAATATCCAGGGTAGAAAAAATAGTGTAAACAAAGACAGGGTGTAGAAATGGTCTTAGGAAAAAAATAAAGTAGTGCACTTCAATGATGCATGATGATCAGGGTTTCTTGGGAGATGTGGGAATGAGGTGGTGATGGAGGGAAATCTGGATTCATCAAATATCCCTAGTCTGAGCAGGAATCACTTCTTTGAAGCTTCTCTATGACTACCTGATTTTTTTGATGATTTCGAAATTTTTGTACTATCAAGTTGAAATTAATAGATCAAGTACTTGTGAGGAAAGCATATGAAACAGAAAAGTTCCTGTAACCCTAATATTAGAACTTTATAAATACAGCAACCTTTGAGTGAAAAAATAATGAAATTATCAACTCTGTGGTCCTTTGAAATGCTAAATATTTATATACCACCAGACAAAAGGGAAAGGCAACTAGCTGTGTTTGAATTTCTTCTAAAAAAGTAAAAACAGAACAAAACAAAACCAAACCACTGGTGGACTTTTTAAATTATATTTTCACCTGTATTTTTCCATTCTATATTATTGTAAAAAAACTATGAAAAAAAAGCTTCAGCTGTATTTTTTACTTCCTTGTCTTAAAAAAAGGAAATAAAAATTAAATTAATCTAGTCTAATGCAAATTTAATAACATGTAAAACAGCATTTAAAAAATTACTTTATAAAACTAAGTATAGCAGTAGCATATCTGGTGCTTTTTATTAAAACACCTAAAAAACCTTTTTTTATTACTCTCCATTTAAAAATTCATTCATCTGCATATCTATAAGATACTTTGAATTGTCATGATTAAACCCTTTTCTTATTTGTAATTTTCACCTGAGTTCTTTGAATTCATATGCACATGGGAGACTCCTTGGCTTGATATTAAAAAGTAGAGTTAAATATTTAAAAAGGCTTCATCTTTTTTTCAAGCTCTGTTTTCAAATATAGAAGTAACTGCTGGCTTAGAATTATTTTGTGAGCATGAAAGTAACAAAATATATTGTTTGTGATGTAGCTCAAAGGGGATGCCACCTTTTATAATTACACCATAATCTGTCATACTACTCAGAGTTGGCCAAACTGAAGCTAAATTCCTCCAGACACCAGCTGAAAGTATGAGAGTAGCCCCCAAACCACCCTGAGGTTGGATGATTTACTAAGAGGACTCACAGAACTCACTAAGCTATTGTACTCCGGTTGTGCTTTATAACAAGGAAAGGACACATGAAAATCATGGGAAAAGATGCCTAGGTTACAGTCTAGGAGGATGCATCATTCTCAGAGAACTAAAGGGCGACAATATGCCCAGAATATCGCCAACCTGAGAAGTTCACTGGGTCTTAATGCCCAGAGTTTTTAACTGGGGCTCTGTTAGGTAGGTTTAACTCCTTGCTGGATTGCCTGGTGGTTGATGTCAGCTTCCAGACCAACTGATATCCTGTAACTCAAAGGCCCCACCTTAAATTCCATGGCTGGTCTTTCTGGCACAGTCAGCCCCATCCTAAAACTATGAGGTATGGCCAGCACCCACATGAAACAAAGATACTCCTATCAGGTATGTCCTTAATCCCCCCTCCCACCCCCTCCAGAATAGAGGGCTAGACCTCTCTATAGACAAGGTCAAATTCTTTACTACACAAGTATTTTTACCGTTATATATCTCTTCATATCTATAGTGTCATAGACAAAATAAAAAACCAAAACATAAAATTCAAATAAAATTATATCATAAAATGAACTTTCTAGGCACCGTCCAATGTGTGTTTAATATCCTTTCCATATTGGATTAAACTCAAGAAAAAAATAAGCAGAGGGTATTATTGTATAACAAAAGTTATTTTATCTGTGAAAGGTTGTATTCCCAAAAAGATATATATATATATATATATATTTTTTTTTTAAAGTCTTTGCTGATAATGGTGGGCTGTTGAGATGTCCATTAGTGTCCTCTTACACTATGGTTAAGCTCCTCACAAGACACCAGCAAACTCTGCTGATTATCCAGGATGCTCACCTGAAATGTATTTTATTAATTCAGCATGGTTTTTCAGTTCAGAGTTATTCTTGGTGTGTAGAACAAACGTACTGAAAAACAATCTTCAAAGGTCCAACCCGGTTAACTTCAGAAGAATATCAGAATAGATCAGAGATACTTGGGGGAAAAACAAAAACAAAAACATAGCTACTTTGAACAACTTCTGGCATCTTTAGTAAAAATCAAACAATTTAGACAATTAAGGTTCAAGAATTCTAAATCTTAAGGCATCAATCTTCACAAGCATATATTAAACCAATTTCTGTGTACATGCTGACAGTATTAATATGTTTATTGTATAAGGATTTATTATGTAAAGTTAGTGTATTCTAAATTCATCTGAAAAATATCTGGACTAAAAGTATGGTACCTGTTAAGAGAAAAAGAAAAAATAGGTCTCAAATGACTTGAGAAATTCAAGACATTATTTTTGCCAGTAACATAATTATATAGAAGTCTCAGTTTAAAAAATTTGGGTTATAATTGTTAAAATATGGTTTAAAGGACTTGTTTATTAGTTTACTAAATGTAATTTGATAATTAAATATGCATCTCTACTTACAAATACAGTTTAAAAATTTTAGATTTTTTGTTGACCTAATCTTCTGTCACTGAAATATTTATGTAGATATACTTTTAAGATTTTTTTTTTTAAGTTAAGCACTGCCCTAATGTTCCTCAACTTAAAATGCAGTAATATCTGTGGTGGGGAACTATGTGGATAGAGATAATTACTAGATAATATGTTGCAATCAATGTGTTAGCATCTTCTTTTAGATTGACAGATTTTTGTAAGCAGAACACTATTTGATTACATAATTGACATGAGAAATCCAACCAGCCAAAGAATATGTTATTATATACATAATTTTTAAAATTAAGGTTTATCAAGTTGATTGATGAATACAGAAAATAATCTCTCCCAATAGTTTAGAATAAAAATGACATCCTAAAGAATACAACTCTTTTTACTTATATTTATAAATATTTATAGTATTTATATAATATTATATTATGATATATATAAGATTTATGATATTTATATAAACATATTTATGTTATAAAAATTATTTTAAATATTTCCATTATCAAACAGTCCCTAAGATAGAGTGCACTATGTTTCTCTAACTTAAAACCATCATAAGGAAACCAGAGTAATTGAAGGAAAAAAAATATGTCTAAAACACCTATAGTGCTCCACATATCCGGTGAGATCAGGCATTCAGTTCCTGGTGACATTAATAGTCAAGAGTTTAAAATTCATAAATACTCATGCCAAATGTAGGTATTGGTTGTTTAGTACCGTAGGCTTTTTCTTTACCCTCCTTTTAAAAGTTAGGCAGAAATCTTAATATAATCCTGGAGAAAACCATCTATAAATTATCTATAACTGTCCTAGTGGATATTTAGGGTTTTTAAAATTTAATTTCTGATTGAAATCAGTTAAGCTCTTTCTATCCATCTCAATTCAGACAGTCACTTTGTACATGTTTAAATGGAGAAAAATCACAATAAAGACATGTGTGGGTGCTCCTTGATTTTTCCAAGTCTAGCCCCAGGTAGAATGAAGTGACAGTGAGTCTCCACCTCCCTGTGCTGATGTCCACCATGCCCACCAGCTCATCTTCCAGTATCTTCCTTGCTCTGGCTTCACATGAGCAGGAATTGGTGAGATACACCCATCACTTTTTGTATGAGCCACCTAAAAGTTTCATGTTCTCAAACAACGGTGAAGTGAACGGAATCCACAGTGATACTTTTAGGTAGTGGTACCAGGTGGAGTGGGGTGGGAAGTGAGGATGGGGAGGAAGGCTTTTTACATATAAATAGGCACTGAATAAACTTCACATTGAATGAGACTCTATGGTAAGACAGCACTTTCATCATATTCAGTGTAGCTATTGCTGGCTCTAGAATTTGTTGGAAGTGGACAACTTAATCATCTTCACGTATGTATTTTTCTCTGGAGAAACACATACAGAAATAACCTGAGAACTTTTTTCATTAATAGTGCTTCACACAGCAGTCCTTTCTCACAACGTATTCTTAACATGCATCCATGTAAAGTTACAGACAACATTCACTCTGACCCTCCTGGCCACCAGTGGGTGCCTTTTTCCTACAACAGCAATTCTGTGACACTGCCGGATAGCCTCCCCGAGGAGAGCTCCTGATCCCACAGGTGAAACTCCCAGTCTCACAAGGCTGCCCCTGCCCTAATTTGGATGCCAATCCCAAGTCCAGATTGTCACCTCTGCTCCTCATTGACTGGCTATAAAGCAGAAGTCTCCATGACTCCCTCCTCCTGTTGGATGAATTTACTAGAGCAACTCACAGAAGCCAGGAAAACATTTTACTTACAAGATTACAGATCAATACAGAGGATATAACTCAGGAACAGCCAGATGGAAAAAATGCAGAGGGCAAGGTGTGTTGCAAGGTGAGCAGAGAGTCGTATTCTCTCCAAGTGAACCATCCTCCCAGCTCCCCAAGCGTTCACCAACCCAGAAGTTCTCCAGACCCCATCCTTTGGGGTTTTTATGGAGTCTTCATTACAGAGGCATGATGATTAAATCTCTGGCCAGTGGTGATTAACTTGACCTCCAGCTCCTCCCATTCCCTGGAGGTTAGGGATGGGGCTGAAATTTCCAATCCTCGATTACTTGTTCGGTTCCCCTGGCAACCAGCCCCATCCTCTGATGCTTTCCTAGTCACCTTATTAAGGTAAGCTCAGGTGTGGTTGAAAGGGTCTTGTTATGAATAACAAAGGATACCTTTATCTCTTTTATCACTTAGCTTTTATCCAAGGTTTCCCGAACCCTGTGCCAAGAACAGGAAGACCGAATATGTATTTCTTATTATAAATCACAAGATCACAGTGTACATTCACAGATATGTGAATGCCTATGTGTCTGTTGATTCTTTGGCTCCCTGAAGTGGAGGAGGGTCTGACACCCATGTCCCTTCCGACTGTGAAGTGTAGTGCACAGTACGCTGATGGGCTCTCTCCTGTCCAGCTGGTGGCCTTGTCCCGCTGTGACCAGGCTCCCAGGCAGTGAGGAGCTGCGAGGTGCCCGCTCGGCCGTGGTGCACGGATCACCCTGCGACTAGATGCCCCTCGGAGCAGCTTCAGGATTGATCTCCACCTCAGGGTCCACGTCATGCTGAGTTAGATCCCACATCCACAGGCTCTGTGGACTTCAAGTGGCATTCCCCCCGACACGTGGAAACCTGAATATGCCTGTGGGGCCACAGCAATGAGGGAAAAGCCTTCTCTGGGATCGCAGACAGGTCAGGGGATGTGGTGAAGGAAACTCCCTCTCATTTTTCTTAGGATCCTCTTTTCTCCGCTCTAGACGACACAGCAACATTTGCCTTGAAGAATTTTATGTGCATTCATGGAATGTTATTAGCTTGTGTTTGTTCTTTCCCTCACTGTACTTACGCAAGTTGACTTTTATACTCACTTAGCATTTGCTTGGTACCTTTCTCATCACTACACAGTAAGATCCAAAGGTCTCTGCGGTTCTCTGCTCTGTCCCCCACTCTAACCCCACATGTCCTGGTCCATGATAGACTCTCAATAAATACTCCTTGAATAAGTAAATGGTGGACTTGTTATTTGAATATCATACATAAATCATGGCAAGGATTGCCATGCTTACTGTCCTAGAGCTATTAAGTAACATAAAGAACACCAGAAGCCAGCAATGTGTCCTCGCAAGAAAATCACCATATCGTTTCTTTTGCCCTTGAAGAGATGGGCACCATCTTTTTGTTTGTTTTGTTGTGTTTTTTCACCATTGGGAAGGGTGCTCCTATATATAATGTGGTCATACAATTATAAGATTCAACTTGAAAGGTCAAAATGCACAAGGGAAGTCTTGGGGATTATAGATTATAAGTCAATAGCAAATGAATAACCTCAAGTCCACATAAGATGTGTCAGCCCACTTGCTTCACTACATTCATTACTAAAATATTTTGTGGTGACTGTCTTACTCATTTTTAATTCATCAATTATTTATTGTCTCTTATTTATTGTGATACGAGCTAGGCACTGGGGATTCGTGAAAGCGGGTTGTGGGTAGAGGTGAAAAGGAGCACTGTCACTGACTTCTAGCCACTGACCATCTAATGGTGAGAATAGCTGGCAGCCAGTTATAGCCATGAGACAGGTGAACAAATGTGGCCATCCAGAGCCAAGCCGCCTTCAAGGGGGAAGTAACATTTGAGTTGAGTTTTGAAGAAAGGATCAGCTCACCCTGGCAGCAGGGTAGGAGAAAAGCCTTTGAACTTTTCAAGCAGAGTGAATATTTGCATGAAGTTTAGAGGTGAGAGAAAGTATGACATCTTCCGGACACACAAGTAGCTCAGTGACTGCAGCCTAGATCATGGCCCCATTTTACAGATTATAGTTGTCCCTGTGCTTTGCTCTGCTAGTTTACAAAGCAAAGTTTGGCAGCTTCCAAACCCCACTTATCAATACTCATGCCATAACATTTCTAAAATGTTCTCCACGGCCCCTTCTTCTAATGACTCTATCCAAAACCTGGGCTGGGTTCGATCTATTTTACACTGGAATATTCTCTACCTCCTTTGAAATACGTATGCATCTATATGATCAACACAGCAGCGTACCATATACTGCCTTGTAGCATGTCATCACTCACTATTTTGTATTCAGACGTTTGTTTCCCTTGTTTTACAATGTAGTTTGGCCTGTTTTCTCCACCTAAATTCAACACCTTTCATGACAAGTCTTTGAAAGCTCCGGAAGATTCATGCTAGTAGCAGGCACTCAGAGCACCTCTATTGGATTTTGGTTGATTAAAAAGCCTAGTCGTTTATGACTTTGATGTATCCTCCCACTCTCTGAGTGTGATAATGCATCTCAGATTATTCTGCTAATATATAGTCTCTTCATTTTTCCGTAGATAAGACAAAATAATTGCCATGGCAACAGAGAATACCAGTTCATTAGGTAAAATAAACATAGGCTGATTAGGGATTGTGAGTTGAAAGCTGTTGAGATGAGGAAGTGCTTCAAGAAAACACCACATATATAATTTTATCTCATTTCTTCAGGTATAGATCTGCCAAGAATTGATAATATTTTTGTTTTAGGCAAAAGACTTGGATGCTACTCTTTCAGGCAGTTTAAATAGGTTTTAGAAATCTCACATAAAACAACAAGAAAATTTCCATGATATATATGCATAATTTCCACATAATCCCTCATATCACAGCATGCAATGGATTATCAGCTTGGTCACATAAAATAGTAACTGGGTGACTGAGTAAGGGCCTTTTTTTTTTATGGGAATGACTTTATCTTGAAGGGATTTTGAGTGGAGAATATATTAAATGGAACTTAGATAACTTAGTTTAGAAGTATAATTCTTCTAAGGTTTTAAGACTTTAGGGGAATTACTTTGACAAAGTAGTAACTGAGAAATATTTCACAATTATTTCTCATAAGCAAAATTTTGGCAAAGGGACTTTAGAGACTTAGAAATATTTAACTGTGTCCTTTCCAAAGTTGACTGTATAGGGCTTAATTTTCTTTGCTTCCTTTTCAGCTCCTTGTGGATATAATGTAACATCTCAGAACGGTACAATTTATTCCCCTGGATTTCCAGACGAGTACCCAATTTTGAAGGACTGCATTTGGCTTATCACCGTCCCTCCTGGCCATGGGGTCTACATCAACTTCACCTTGCTACAGACGGAAGCTGTGAATGATTACATTGCTGTTTGGTAGGAGACCCTTTCCATATAGACTGATCTGTCATTGTGCTACACCATTCTTGCAACCACGGACATGGAGCTTTTATGTCAGATTACATATTAAGAAGTGACATTTTTAGGTAGATATTGAAAGGAAATTTACCAATGAAATCCAACGGTATAGAGAATAAACGTCATGTGACATGTTTGAGTTTTGTTACGTGGTAGACAAATTTGGGACTACTCTGAATGCAGATTATCACAACATAATTGTATTTTACATTTTTAAGTGTGATTTTTCTTTTTTTTCTAAAAGAAAAGTTGGTCAGGAATCTTTGCCAAGATAAGAATTCGGTGCTTCTGGAAATATTGAAGAGATAATTACACACAGCCCTCCTGCCATCCTTTGGAAACGTGGCAGGACTGCCCTTCCATATGATGTGTAGGAAGTAATACTGAGCCAGTAATCAGGGCTGGGAATTTGGGTTCTGGTTCTCTTTCCAATGAGTCATGTGGCCTTGGGTAAGTTACTCATGTGATCCTTGGCTACATTTTCGTGTCTATGGGAATGACTATCCTACCTTTGCTTTTGGAAGTGAGAGGTTATAGGGGACACAGAGATTGACAAGTCCTCTGTGATGCTATGTTGGGAGAAGGAGGGAGGACCGATGGGGTGTGAGGAGGTGAGCTTAACCCAGGCTTGAAGAGCAGGATGTGCGGCCAGCATAAACTGCCATGAAAACTATGGACTAATGGCAGGTAACCATGTGGTATGCATGTGTGTGTATATTGGGAAGTTGGTGTAGAAAGTTGGTGTAAATTAAGGGTCATTCTGGATACTGGAAAGCCTGCAAAGCAAGGGGACAGGGTGATTTCAGGGTATTGGAAGATGTCAGGAATGGGTCTTATGGGAGTCCAGGTGAGCGGGACAGAGAATACAGGAGCTTATAAATCGTGTGAAAGATCCCAGGTTTAGTTCTAAGAGCAATGAGGATTTGCTAGGGTTTTAGGAAGGGAATCACCTTAGCTGAAGAATTCCCAGTCTCATTTTTGGGGGAAATGTATCAGGTGAGGGCAAGAAAGGAGGCTGGTTTTGAGGCTGTAGAAATAACTCTTGCAGGGAGGAGATAATGGCCCAACCAACGGCTGAGGGAATGAGGAGGAATGGGGAACTTGAAATATTAAATTGATCCTGAAGCTGCTCTTTCAAAAGCAAGGCAAAACACAAACCACATTGTACTATTGGCCATTTCACCTGGATTAATGTATAGATTTAGCAGGCAGAAGCAAAAGCTCTTCATAATTAACAAAGTAGTCTATTGTCAGAACACTAACGAAAAGAGAGACCGTAAAGTCTTGTCAACTTTGTGACATTAAACATCTTGATATTTCTAAATGCAGTGTTCACAAGAGGGTAGTATTTTATTCAGTTTGTTAAAAACACAAAAATTCAACTGAGTAAATTTGGAAGATCTTTTTGGCTTTATTTAGTGGTTCATGAATCGGGTAACATGCCATCTGGCAAGTAGAGAGACACTCTGAGGAGTTAGAGGTACACAATGGAAGGTTTTTATAGGAAGCAGTGTGGAGCAAGACGTTATTAGTAGGAGAAAGGATTGTTTCAGGCAAGGTCACCTTCCCTGAGGGGGGTAGGGCAGGAGGTCTCATCATGCAGAGTACCTCATGTTGGGTGGGGGCAGCTCAGCTGGAGACCATCCATGTGACCTCATTGATGCTGAAAATTTCTGAATGAGTGGCTGAAACTTTCACTCCAAGAGTGGTTGAAAGTGCAACTAAGTCTTGCTTTGCTATCCTGGGGCCAGTGACTCGACCTTTGCACTGTTGTTTCCTTTTAATAAATTCTTAAAAACCTTTTACTTCAGTAGCAAGAGCTCCATAAATTTCACCCATAATTAAAGAGACACCATTGAATTTAGACTTTCAAACACGGACGTATGAAAGGCAGCTGATACATGGTGAACAGTCACTAGAGTCAGGATGAATGTGTCTCTGTGATGGCTCTGAAAAGGTCCGCAGTGGGGTGAGTAGAAGTCAGCCCCAAGTCTCCAGGTGTGAGCACCAGCTCGGTCCCCTGGAGCCCAGCCTCAGACCAAGCTGCTCAGGCCAGGATAGAAGCTACATGTCAGAAGAAAATGATTATTAGTTTCAGCTGTAATTAGGAACTTTCTCCTCAAACTTCTCTCTTTTTCTAGGGATGGGCCTGATCAGAATTCACCTCAGCTGGGAGTTTTCAGTGGCAACACAGCCCTGGAAACGGCGTATAGCTCCACCAACCAAGTCCTGCTCAAGTTCCACAGTGACTTTTCAAATGGAGGCTTCTTTGTTCTCAACTTTCATGGTCAGTGCATTCTCACCTCGTTGATTAAGGCAGAGAATTCCTTTTGGTTCTCCTGGTAGTGTTGACATATGCCTCCTCCCCAGTGAGAGCCTTCTGGGACTTCCTTGCATTTGATGGCAGGGCCTCCTGTGAGGCTCCTCTTTTGCTAATGGTATTTGAGGGTGCTGTGTGGCATGCTTGTACTCATTCCAGGACAAGTTTATTGCAAATGAAACTCTGATGTGGAGGCCCTGGGAATAAATTTAGTACCTTTCCCAGATTTCCTGTGTCTGTCTCCAGAGGAGCCAACGTAGCAAATGCCATGGAATTATGGAGGAGGCAACAGGAAATTTAATGATTTTGAAAATCAATAATTTGGAGAAAAATGTATCAGTCCCTTCTATCTCGTGAAGACTGCACCCGTGGAAGTCCTCAGCATGGGGTGCAGAGAGGGACCTCAGCAAACGTAAATATGGACCTGGCACCAGGCCACGGGTGAACATTTCTCTTCCAGCATCTCCAAATTATGTCAAGTGGTTTTATTTAAATGTCATAATTTTGAAGACTATACCCTTTTTCCCTTCGACTTTATATATTCTTTGGCATGAAATAATCCTGTAAGCTTGAGAATTTTATAAAACAATGATTTACAAATAGAGACATTGCAGTATACCTAAGCATTAAAACAACAGAAGCAGAATGTTTTTTTAATAATTTTGTTTATTCAGCAAATGTAATTGCAGTTTTTTTTCCATAAACCCTTTAGCATTTCAGCTGAAGAAATGCCAACCTCCCCCCGCAGTTCCACAGGCAGAAATGCTTATGGAGGATGAGGATTTTGAAATAGGTAATGTGTTCTTTGTTACAAAACCATTAGCTCAACCCAACTTTATTAACACCCATTCCTCACTGCAATAGTTACTCACATGAGTAAATAAGTATTTGTCAGAATATTCTAAAGCGTTGCTAGGGAGTTCATATATCGAAAACATATGTTTTTCTTCCTCCATCTCCATTATGTGTGTTTTTTGCCATTTGAACTTTGCTTCTGTCATTTTGAGCACATTGTCACCTCACCCACCCCTGCCCCCCTCCCACAAACATTTGCTAGCTTGTATTTTTCTTTTAAATAAAGTTTTCAGGGACAGACTTAAATGGATATTTGTGTTTATTTTATTTTTGTAAAGATTTTATTTATTTATTTGACAGAGACAGAGAGAGAGAGGGAACACAAGCAGGGGGAGTGGGAGAGGGAGAAGCAGGCTTCCCGCTGAGCAGGGACCTTGATGCGGGGCTCGATCCCAGGACCCTGGGATCACGACCCGAGCTGAAGGCAGACGCTTAACGACTGAGCCATCCAGATGCCCCGATATTTGTGTTTAGTTAGAAAAGCATGTTCATGCACTAGAAGGACTTAATCATTTGTAGCTAAAATAATGATGAGTAAAACTTTGACCTTTCATTGAAACTGGGATGTAATTGGTGAGTATATGTAATGATAATATTATAAATTCTGCTTTATCATTCTGTATTAATGGAGAGTTTCATTAAATAATCATCAGATCACTAGCCATGGCATATGTTTGTGGTATAATTACTGTGACCCAGGATTTCTCTGTCTCGGCTACAAATACAGCACTCTGTTCTCACCCCATGTTTCAGACTGGGCAAACCACATGACCCAATTTCTGCTGTATTCATAGTGGCTCCGTTAATGGGAACATTGTGCTAATTAGGCCACGGTCACAGGTTAGCCCTCTCTGGACGCATTAAAGCCATTCTATGCTACATCCTCAAATCCCAAGCAATCCCATTTGCCTTCTTTTTTGGAATTGTAATCCTGGGGGAAAGGGCGGGACCGTAGATACATCAGTCTATGAAAAAACCTGCCACATAATCTGTGCTGGTATCAGTGAAGATAGCATTTTTATAAGTCAAGAAGTGAAAATAGTCCCCTTTGATTAAACAAACTAAAAATGAACACCAGCGTGGGTTCAGAAGTGGTTTGCTCACTGACTTCTTTTGGTATGTGGTCTTCTCTATGTTTTGTACGTTCACACACTCTGTGGGTCATGGGAACATAATCCCAGGTGTGCTGTGTTGGCTCTTTCAGGGGATTTTGTGAAGTACCAGTGCCATCCGGGCTACACACTGTCTGGGATAGACACACTGACCTGCAAGCTCAGTGCCCAGTTGCAGTTTGAAGGTTCTCTCCCAACGTGTGAAGGTATGCACAACTTGGTCCTACACACGTGCTTGTTCATCATGGAAAATTGTATGACTCGTGTTGGTCTATGTGTTTTTTGTATAGCTCTGAATTGAATCGGTGCAATTAAGATTGCCTGCTAACAGAAATACCTAATAACCTTTCTCCTTTAGTTACCTCTACAATACAAATCAAAGGAATATCAAATAAGAGGTCTTTCTTTTTCCCAAAAGTTTACCAGGAAATTTTCAAACATATGTCTAAGTTGAAATAATTTAGAAATAACCATCTGAATATCTACCACCTAGGTCCCACCATTAATTACTATATATATGTTCTTAGTCATGTGTCTGTTGTCTTTCCATCCATCCATTAATCTGTTACTTTTGATGCATTTCAAGGCAAATTACAGGCATAACTACACTTCCCTCTAAATACATTAGTATGCATAAAATTATCTAGTGATTACTATTTTTTCTGTAAAATTTATAATCATTGAAATGCACATAGGTTGCATACAATAGATGCACATATTTCATATATTCACATGTCTTTAAAATACATAGAGCATATGCAATAACAGAAAATATACAATAGCACAAGATTTGAGATTGAATCTATTGATTCAACTGATTGGAGTAAAATTAGATCACTTTAAAAATATTTGAAAGTCTCCACTCTCAAGTAGTATTGGGAGGAAAAAAAAACTGGAAAAAATATAAATAAGCTAAAATGGCTCAATATAAGACAGAAGTGTCATGGTGTTTGGTCAATCAAAGTTTTCCAAATTAGAATACTTTTGATTTTGTGACTTCAAAATCACAATAAACATTCAATTCATTTAAAGAATGGGACCACCCCCCTTTCAAGGAATTTGAATATTATCATTCATCAGGGATCATGAAGCACATAAAAGTTCCCACAATTTAGGAAGAGAAGACCCAGTGACTCAGTCTAGACTCCCAAGTGACCGCAGGTAAATCATTAATCCCTTGGGCATTGAGTGTAAGGAGGGTGGTTGATCTGCCTTATTTAGGGGACTTTTGTAAAGATGCAGAGAATATTAAATGTATTATTCTAAGTGTTTTATAATGTTAATTATCTGCCCTATTAAGAGGCAGTTTCCTTTGTATTGCACTAGTATTGACTTTGCAAGTGTTCCCACCCTTGAATGGATTAGTTTAGAATGTATGCTCACTTCCTGCATTCTCATTATGAATGAGGCAGAATCCTAGTCACCCAGGGAGAGGGAGACAATTTCCAACATCTGAAGAAAATCTGGAATGCAGGAGTCTTAAATAACCATGATAACTCAGACTAATTCTAAGAAACATTACTTTCAAATTGTAGCTCTGGGAGTGCAGATGGGTGTGGGCAAAGACCACCCTCTCAGGAGTATACCCTCTTTGGTCTGCTGGTTGTGCTAACTGCTCAGAGGACCCACACATTTCTGGAAGTCACTGACACTCTGCCTCACACCTGCCTCACTCAAAGCTGGGGCCCGCACGGGGTGCTAAGTCAGGAGACTGAGTCATTCCTTTTTGGAAAAATCAGTGTGTCTGTACCATGTTACATCAGCAGCAACCATCTACAGTGGATTTTTTCCCTCAAGGTGCAAGGGGATATAAAATGTTCATCTTTTTCCATTTGACATAAAAATTACCTGAGGTAAAACCACATTTTTAGGGCACATCTTAATTCCAACAAACAGAGACTTACATTTCTGAGCATAGATGATTTCAGGCAAGGGTGGTCTTAGATGAATAGTGAAGAAAGGCATACATATTTATTAAATATGCTACTTCAAAAAGAGGGAAAATTACTTTATTATGTTGGCTATCCCCAAGATTAACCTTGTTTTTATTTAAATGAAATTAATTCATGACAGTCCGGGAACAGAGTAAATCAGCACAACATGAGCATCATTCTCTAAATTACTTGGCTCTCACACAGGGTTGCAGGGAGGATTCTGCTAACAAGACACATTCTCTCTACTCAGACCAAGGTTCCCATGTCCTCCTGAACTCCCAGCAGTTACTACAGAGGACAACATAGTTCTCTCCTGTTTCCATTCAGGAATAAATAATGTTTAAGTCAAACTGAGAGTCATCTTAGCTGCCATTCCCTAAATACATTCTTTAAGAAAAGGAACTAGGGGCTCAGATGTCTTTTATCAAATAATCATTTAATGATAATCTTTCTTCCAGTACTTTCTATTATTTGGTTGGGCTCAAGGGGAGGGAGTGGGCAATCCCCTGATAAATTACTGGTGGAAACTTATGTGAGTTATGAGTCCTCCTAAGTTCTGCTTTGAAAATTGTCACATTTTTAGGGTGATTGACTGTTCCTTGGGAAAAATGAGAGCAAATTGTTCCTTAAAAGTTAGTATCCTATGCAGATATACCTCGTTGGATGCTCATCTTAATTTAGAAAATGCTGAATGAGGGTCTGGAATGTCTTCCAACACCACCAAGCAATTCTCCCGTTCTCTCCAAACCCAGGCTGAGTGCCCTGCCATTGAAATCAATTCTGACACTCTCTACCTGGAGACAGTGTCCGACCGCACAGATTAAGGGCACAGTCCTAAAAGACTGATCCTATTTCGGAGGCCAGTCACAAAGTCAATTGTCACTTGTGCTTCTGACTGACCTGCTATAGATCAGAAGCACTCATGATCCCCTCTTTGGTTTTATCCTATGCTAGAAGAGCTCACGTAACCTAGGGAAGCATTTACTTACATTTAGCATAGTAAATATAGTATTGTAAAGAATTCTAATCTGTACCCTTTATTATATAAGGGGTTCAGATGAACAATCAGATGAAGAGGTACAGGGTACAGGGTCTGGAAGGGGTCTCAGCACAGGAGCTTCTGGGCCCTGGAATTGGAGTGTAAGAACTTTTATACAGCCAATCAATTTCTTAAAAATAAGAAACATACATTTTCAGTGAACACCAAAGACAACCAGTGCCCTTCAAATAATGAACACTTCTTGAAAAGCTCAAGCATAACCGTAACACACACTTCAAGGGCGCCAGGGGACAGTTTTCCCATCTGTTTTTAGAGTTCTCTTTTCACAAGTCTCTGGGACCTATAGGTGCTTTTAAGAATTAGTTTTAATTATTTATAAATCCCAGTGTTTGACTGCATTACTTTTGCTGAAGCCCGGCAAGATGCATTAAATAATATGCTTTGGTTTTAAGCCTCACATTTCATTTTTCTTCAAAAATAAGCTAAAGGAATAGCTTTGTGCGGAGGTGTGGTGACTCAAAACTCACGTGAATGTCTCAGAGAGGCACGTCCCTTCAGAGGTGTCTTTGATGGGAACCTCAAACAGATGCTTCCCATAGCAGGGGGTATCCAGTGTCCCCTGTAGAGATGCAGGCTGTATTTAAAGTGTGAGTGCTGATAGAGAAACGAACAGCCCGGCTCTGGGAGAGCCTGCTGTCTCCGAAACCTTCCCACTGAGGGTGGGTGTTGCACCTAGCAACAATTTATGGAAAGGGACCGGAAGGAATAGGCACATAAGAATGAGCAAGAGACACAAATGAATCAAAAACACGTTATCTCCCAGGGAGACATACTCAAGTGCATTTTAAAACAATATGTACATCTGGAAAATCATATTACGTGTTTGTTGTAAGAAAAAAGAAACAAATAATTTCACTTATATTTTCATTGCATCTTCTCTAAGCAACAGAAGCAGCATTTTGAGGAAAATGGAGGGAATAAAAATAGCCATGCTTGAGATTTTGCTTCTGATTCATCACCACTCACACCTTTCCAACCCTGGCATGCGCTCCAGCACTGCAGGTGGATTTCAGCAACTTAGCGGACAGTTTCCTGTTTCTAGATGATCTGAACTTCCAGTGTTGCCTAATAATGATAGTGGCGGTGATGAAATCAGTAGGCAGAGATTTGGGCTAAACATTTCTCAAGTGTAATAGCACAGAATGAAATGTGCTGGGGCAGCAGCATCTTGAGTCAGGAGGAGGCAGGCAGGTGGTCAGTGCATCACAGGTGTTGAAACACCTCCCCATGTAGTGCTTCCGACTGAAGGAAAGTGTTTGTGTATATTTATCTAATCATGACCCTGACAAGTAGCTTTATTGCCCTCTGGTTACATCAGAGCAGAGAAACGCTCTGGCTCTCACTGCGAAGTCAAGGCAGGTCTGTGGACATTCTAAAACTCCAGGCCCTGCACGTATGCATCCAGATAGAAAGGCTAATTTTCTTTTATTGTGTTCTCTTAAAAAATGCCAATATGTTCATTTTTGAAAGGGCATAGTATATTTCATGGACAGATCTTACCACCATCACAGAAGAAATTACTTTCTAAAGCAAATTGCTTTAGTCTGAGTGTTTTGGTTTGAATTATTTTTTTTATATAACTTACCATTAATTAACATTGTAAATATTCTTAAAAATCTACCTAAAGTACTTCTTTATTAAAAGGGTTCTATGAAATGTTTCCTCATTGGTAATCTAATGCCTAAACATTTTCTAAATTTTAAGGTACATCTGAATAAGAGCACTAAGGTAAATGAAAGAAAAAAAGGAAAAATTGCCTTTTAATAGACAGTTACTTGAATCAAAACTTTTGTATATTATATAAACTTTGCCTATCTGTTTGGGAAATTATTTCAAAATGTATGTATTAATAATATAAATTTAATTAATTAAAAGGAGGTAATTCAACAAATAAGACACATTTCCTCTAATGGAAGTCCTTTTCCATGAAGGAAAAGATGATCATTTAACTTTAAAATTTAAAAATAGTTTTGCTATCTCTCTGTTAAATTTTGAATCATTATCAATAGATGATATTTTTTTCTTAATAGTTGTATAAATAAATTATTTCTGAAAGATAATTAAATTATCAATGAAATAAACTACTAATTAGGAGACTGATGGTTTTCTTTTGCATGTTCAGACCTTTGCAGATCAGTCTTATTTTGATTACCTTAGAAGTAGTTGAATAAAGAAAAAAAGGAAAGCAGGAGGGAAAAAATATGTCAGTGTGTCCACACTATCTTAATGATTCATTTATAATGATAAATTGATAAATGATTCATTATGATAAATTCATCCTTTAGAAATCACTACTCTTGCTTGACATTATAACAACCCAGAGGTCCAATATGGCTTTCAGCCCAGGTCTCTCTGGCTCATCTCTTATCACAGTCCCAAGTAATCAAATGAAATCCTTAAAATTTACTGTCCTAAATATAATTAAAACTATAATCAAAGGCAGAAATAAATACATTGTTTCTATTACTGTATATAATTGCACAATGTTGTTGTAATATTACATCGAAAAGGAGAGGTCTTGCTTTATAGTTGAGTTGGGAAAACATGGGATCCTAGGATCAAATCTGCAATGCACCTGCCCTAAAATAAGGTGTGAGGGCAATTCAGTCCTAGAAAGTTACTGCAGAGTGAAGGAGAGTGGACGGTTTTAACCTCTCTATATCTGTATGTCCCACTTCACTCACAACGGGTGGATCAGCAGGGGCAAGTGCATTGCTTCACCACCTTTTTCAGATGAAGACTTTCAGGTTCCAGGTTCCTTTTCGATTTGGCAGCTTTGTCAGGTTAGGCTACCCTAGAGTTGTGTCAGTGACATAATCTCTTTGACCCTATGTTTCCTTAGCAGTAAATGAAATTAATCAATCTATCTGTCTATCTAGTCACCCTAAATACCGACACATATATATGTATGAAATTCTCATTTAAATTATAGGGTGGTAGTAAAATGTGACTCATTATTATTTAGGGCTGTTCTGCTGGGTTTGTACCCTGTATTAAATTTGGTCATAGTTCAGTAGGATTGTTCCCCCTTTACCGCCATTGGCTTATAAATACAGGGATAGAAACTCTCCTATTGACGTCAGGTTCATTTTGTTAAGGAAGACTTTTACCGGTATTTTTCTCATTAGCACAATGCCCCGCAAATGAAGTCCGGACAGAATCTTCTGGCGTTATCCTCAGTCCAGGTTACCCAGGCAACTATTTTAACTCCCAGACATGCTCGTGGAGTATTAAAGTGGAACCAAACTATAACATCACCATCTTTGTGGATACATTTCAAAGTGAAAGGCAATTTGATGCACTGGAAGTGTTTGATGGTAAGTTTCTTTACTCCTTTTTTTTTTTTTTTTTTACCTACCAGTGACCTCTACATAGTGTAATAAAAACGCCATCATGATGTTTTTGTTACACAAGGACTTTCATATATTCTTGAGATAAATTACATCTCCCCCAAACAGAAAATGAATTATTCTTGCACTTGTGTAGTCTCAAGAGTCTGTGCAACATGAACATACTTTTGTTAATGTTTCAACTTTTAAGTGATTAATATGCTAGCAATGCATTCTGAAAATGTCCTGAATTAACTTGAACCATTATTTAATTCTTTCATGTGGGAATTTAGAATAGATGACCTCATACAGCTCTTCCTTTCTCTCTAAGTATTCTATTGATTCAGAAGGTATTTTAGGAAATTTAAGAGAGCTAAAGGTACTTTAATCAATTTAAACAATTATTTTACTAGAACTACATAAAAATAATGGCTCACAGAGATTTCTAGATGATAAATGCTACAGAAAGAAGTCTTTAATGTGCAGTCTTTTAAAAAATAGTACAATGCACTTATCGAATGTTAGTATTGTTTTCAACTCTAGTCATATATTTTTACATATTTCTAACAAACTTATTACTAGAACAATGCCATGCTTAAAAGTAGTATGTAGTTGAATTGTCAATTTGAAATGGAGATGATGTTAATATTTTTCTTTGTATAGAAGCATAATCATAGCCCAGAAAATTAGACCAAGATACAATTATGGCTGTACATAATAATAAGGCTTTTGCATGTTTTGATGGACCTGTCATTGAGTTCAGTGAAATAACAATCAACTCAGTAAAAAAAAAAATACTGTAATTGATTCTGTGTGTGTCTCTGTGCCTTCTACTTCCTTGATGAATCATAATAGTCAAGTTGTTCATATGGATAGACACCACATGAATCAATTTATGTATTTCCTAAGATGATGAGCTACTAAATTGGAAATTAAACTCACACTTATATACATAGAAACAGAGGGCTGAGGAGCAATATTTTCATTTTCAGAGTTTTTTTTTTTTTAAGTGTATGTTAAAGCAGGCATGGACTGCTAAAGACTTTTTCCATAGTCTGTAGGATGGAAAGAAGTAATTTATTAGCCAAGTACAAAAGTGGTATTCTTATGTCAATGAGGAACCAGTTAAACTCAATTCTGAGGTCAATTAGATGACATACAAAACTAAAGTAGGTGAGCAGCCCACTTCTGGGGCTCTGTGTGTGTGTGTGTGTGCGCGCGTGTGTGTGTGCATACATATTCCTATACACACTGTATGTAATTAAATATATTTACATAATTGCTGTAAGTGTGTTCATGTCCCCTTGGTTCACCTTAGTCAGATTGGAATTTAGCTGACAGTGCTTCTCCCGCTTCCAATTACAGAGCAGAGTCATTACCAGTATTTATTCCTAAGTGCTTATAGTTTGATCTCCCAAAAATAATGGGTGGATCATACCCATTATCTATTACAAAGTAGGTAATAGAGATAATATCAAAGCACTTGCTGTTAAAATTACCAGAGATCCATGGTTAGCTTTGTTCTAGCCTCAAAGATTTGTCTATAAAATGAAAGGGCACAGTTTTACATGAATATTTTATTAAGTCTTAGCATTTTTGTTGCATGAAGTGTCATGTTTATCGCACCTCTCTCTCTGTCTTCTGTAAAATAGTGGTTCTTTTGTAGCTCACGAGTTGCCAAAAAACATGTTGAAAATACTGATTTTAAACTTTATTATCCCAGGAGTATATTCCTGTCCACAGCTCTAGTAGTGAATATTCCTTGATTAAAAAAAATAAGTAAACAAAAAAATTGAATCATTATAGAACTCAACTGAGAAAGGTGTCAACATAAAGATTGTGGTGTTCACTTGTAAAATACTTCATGGTTTCCATGTTGGTGTAGACATGACTACTCTCCATTATGGCTAAGTCTTCTACACGTGCTGTGTTGGATGTGTATTTTTAAAGAAAAGTCCTTGAGGAAGCTTATTGCATGTTAGGCAAAAAGAATAGATGGAAAGTGATGAAGAATTAGTTGCTGAATTAAGAATACCTGAAGCTTTACTCTTGAGTTCTGTCATGAAAAGTGACATTTTAAAACTTTATAAGTGCAGGTTAATTTCCCTATGGTATTTTATTTTAGAATATATATCATCTCTTTAGACAACAACAACAACAAGAAAACCCGCACCCAAAACACATAGTCTTCTTTAATTATAAAATATGGTCATCCTTTTATGGGATATCTTCTAGGAAACTGAGAAGTAGCATTTCATCTGATCCTACTTTGCTCCAGTGAAACTGAACATTGCCTGGATCATCTCTAATGTACTAGTTTTTTTGTATTTGATGACCAGGGCTGCCATCCCAAAGTACCAAGGTGGGGGGCTTCAACAATGGAAATGAGTTTCCTCCCAGACCCGGGGGTGGGAAGTCTGGGTTGCAGGTGTGGGCAGGGCTGGTTTCTCTGAAGTCTCATCTCTCCTCACATCCTCAGGTGGCTGCCCCTCAGTGTGCGTCTGTGTCCTGATCTCTTCTTTGTGCAAGGACTCCAGTCCTACCAGATTAGGGTTTATCTCGGGGTCCTCACTTTACTTTATCTCTTTAAAGACCTTATTTCCAAATACAGTCACACTCTGAGGTACTGACAGGTATAACTTCACCATATACATTTGTAGTAACACAATTCCATGTTTTATTGGTTTGTTTTTGTTTTTAAATAATTTTAACTGCTCTGATTGGGGTTACACAATAAGTGAAGTTGTGGTTTCTCGGTCACTTTGCATGAGTACAAATCCTACATACAACTCTCAAAGCGAGTCCCATAAACCGATAAGATGTGCACTGCATCTAGCTGTGAGGACCACATTCCCCCACCCCATAATATGCTTCCCTGGAGGGAACTGCATGATGTGGAAAAGACTATGAGGTGGCACTGAGTTCACCAGCAGAGTGGTGTTGTGGATGACAGCCAGGAAAGGTGACTGCAGCTTCTGTGTTCCAGAAAGCAGTTCTCTTCAGTAAGGGACATCAAGTCATGGCAACAAGACATGTCAGTTGATGGCATGCTGCACCTGCTTCTATTAACTATCTATTCGAGGTTGACTTTGTATCTTGAGTTTTTAAAATTTTTCAAATGTACCAAAAGTTGAAAAAATTTTAAAATACAGATGTGGACTCATTACTTGATGTGATGAATTTTAGGATTTGGTCCAATTTACCTTAGGCTCTTACCTTACCTTTTAAAGAGGCAAGGAGTACCGAGACATTTGGGGGCTCTACCCATATCCAGTACCACGTAACCTCTCCTAGAAGGAAATAGTACTGAAGGGGACAGGGTTTGGTGGGTCCCACTTGTTTTATGGTTCCTTTTCTATCTCTGTCTGTCCATCTGTCTCTCCTATTATGTAACTATGTAACTCTGTCTCTATCATGTCGTATCTATCCATGCACACACACACATAATTTATATATGGCATAATTTTGAACTTTTACACAATTGCTATCATATTTATCTGCAGTTAGATTTCTTCGGTGGTCAACATGCTGTTTTAAGAGTCATCTATGCCAATAAGTGTTTGTCTAGTTCATTAATTAAAATGTGTATAGAATTCCTTTTCATGGCACTTTCCATTCTTTTCTAAAATGCCAAAATACTAGTTAGGATCTAGGTTTTGCCGTACCAAAGCAAAGCTGGAGCAAACATTTGGCTATATAAATAACACTGGTGCACATGTGCTGAAGTTTATAGAAATATAATGAAACCCTCGGTTGTACTGGATTTATTGAATTGCTCTCCAAAGTGATTATACTAATTTATCCTTCTACCAGTATCATATGAAAGTCTGTATTTCCCCATATACTTACAATATTGTCCATACTAATGATGATAAAAATTAATTTCAGTGATTTCATATTATATATGTATTATATGTTAATGTGACATTATTTTGATTGACTATTGTTTTTTGTTTGTTTTTTAATCAGGGAATATATTTGTTGCTTTATTCATTTGGAACTGTCTACTTTGGAAATAAATATCTTGTGCATTTAGACTCCTAAATGTAATAAAAAACTAAAAGTAGTCTGCATAATGTAGGTGCTAGCTCATATCTGAACTTTTGTTTTGTTTTGTTTTTCTGTTTTATTTAGGTTCTTCTGGTCAGAGTCCTCTGTTAGTGGTCTTAAGTGGGAACCACACTGAACAATCAAATTTTACAAGCAAGAGCAATCAGTTATATCTCCGCTGGTCCACTGATCATGCAACCAGTAAAAAAGGATTCAAGATTCGATATACAGGTTAGTAAGTGAAGTTTAGATTTAGCATAAAAACGTTTTTAATACAAGTGATCTGCAATAAATAAAAAAAAATTGAGATAGAGATTTGTAATGTAAACCTAATTTCCAAGGATGAGTAATTAATTCCCGTAGAAATAATATGATGGGAAATTACTCTGAGTGAGAGATCTCTAACCGATAGCAGAGAAAAGAAACCATTTGCTGATTAATATTTTAATAATTATTGCTAAAATCATAAAACTTGGAATTGACTTAGGGAAAACAAAGGCATTCCCTCTAAAAGATAAAGTAATATAATATAAACTAATTATAAAATAGGTTTAAATGCTAAGAAAACAAACAGGAAGAGATATTCATTTTGTTATTAATTTTACAAGTGTTAATCTCTTACTATTAATAGTGTCTTTTTATTGATTATTTGTATGTCTCTTCATATTTGCAGACTACGTATATATATATATATACACATGTGTAAATGCATACAAAATTAATATGTTACATATATATATTTCCTCATCAACATTTAAATCATTTTGTCCTTTTCCTGTGTATTTTAATTATTCTTTGCCAGTGTTATTTATATTAATTAAATCAGCCAATATATTTATGTACTTTAGATCATGTGTACATTTGTCCAAATGACCTGACCCACACCTAATGTTTATACTGTTCTACAGAGACAGTAGGCAATTTAAATTCCTCATGTACTTTAATTACTAAGAAAAAAAATCTACACTTTTCTCAGTATCTCACTCAATGATACCCCATGGTGATGACTGAGATAGGTTTCCCTAAGGAAGATGCCCACTGGCTACATTTAATTGAGCAGTGGCTTACCAGAGGATTGTGAATTCCTCTGTTGGTGTTTTACTTGGTCAGTGTTGAGGAACATCCTGAAAAGGGAACAGCAAAAAGGCAGAGTAGCCTTAAGAATAAGATTTCAGCTCTCTCTGGTTGGTACACATCATGAAATATTTAAAAGAATCAAGGTTTTGAAAAGGCTCTAGATGTGTAGACAGTGAGCATGAAATTCAGTCATTCTTTCTTGATAAAGTTTAATAAAATACACCCAGACCTTCATGTCTCTCCCTTTCTCTCAAAGGAGTTATTCAAAATGCTTATTGACAAAGAGCTCACAGTTGAAATTGTTTCCATTAGATGGAGTTAGGAGAGTATTAGGGCAATGACTGGATTTGTGTTCATCATGTTCCTTGTTTTGGAAAATAAATACTGAGACCTTTAGAATTGTTTGAATTTATTTCCAATGTGCAAAAATGGACATGGCAAGGAAATCATGGTGAACCTAATTGATCTCCTTCTATCTGCAGCAAATTACTTAGTAGCCTGGTGATATGATTGTACCTTGAATTCTGATCTTTCACAAAGGACATTTTAATTCATTATAAAACAAGAAGATTTTCTTTGTTAAACTGTGTTGGGAGAGTAGGAAATTGGAGAATTTCAAAGAAGGCTATAAATTTTTGTTTTGTCAGTGATTACCTCTACCTTTTAACAGATTTTCATTTAAAATTCAGTGATTCAATGATCTCTGCTAGTAGTTCATCACCAGTGGTTTTAGCTCAGTGATTAGATGAACATGTCTCTGATATATAGCAGTGTGGGTGAGGGAGCTCTAGCCTATCATATGACCACACAGCGTATCTTGCTCCTCTGTCCCCATATATGAAATCCTGGTCATCCGGACATAGGATTGATATAATTGATCAACATAATTTGAAACTGAAAACAAAAAAGACAAAGAAAGTGCTGTCCAACAGTGGCTCTAGTCAATACAGTAAACTGTGCTAAGTGTATGCAGAGTTAATAATGGTCCTTTGATACTAAATGAAGCATGTGAGCTTCTGTATTGGGACTGTTAAAGATATAGGTTGGTCAGACATATATCCAGAAATTCTAGAATCTCTAACACCCAGTCTTCTCCCATAGTGGGTGTCTCCCTGCTTTTTTAGGGCACTACCTGCAGAGTTTGAGGACTGAGCATTGGTCTTCTTATTTCTTACTATAGCCAAGGATCAAACAGATGGGGCTGCGTACTCTAATCTTTCCCTTTTGTTCTCAGGGCTCTATTTCCATATCTCATTCTAAGTGAGTTAGGAAAGAAGAGGTGTCTTGAAAGCCTGGCGTTAGAAAAATCATAGTAAATAGGAGAGAAAATGGACAGTGATCAGACTCTCCAGAGTTGGACAATCCTGCACATTATATCCCTTAACAGACTTAAACTATGACAAAAATCATGGGTGACATGCAATAAATTATGTGGTCTCTCTGTCCTTCCAGGGCGGTTTCAGACTTAATCTTATCTCTCCCTTTAGAGTAAGATCTACAGTCTGCTCCTTCTTCCTATAAATCATCTTTCTGTTTTGTTTTGTTTTTGCAGTTGGTAGCCAAGGTGCCTGATTATATCCATTCCTTCCCTAAAATACATATTTTCGCTCATTCAAAACTTACAAAATTTGGTCTAGAACAAGGACATAAAAAAAATGGCATAGCCAATGGGGCAGTGAATCAAAAGTTTTTCACAATAGTTGGTGAAATTTAACTTAAGAAAAATCAGTCCATTAAAAAAAATGAAATGGTATTTCAGAAGATCATCCAGCTGAGAATATTCTCTGAGGATGCTCTCATAGGAGCATGGTTGACAACCAAGGCCAGGCACAGACATTGCTTCTGGGCAATGCTATGATATGGAACCTTCAAAAAGTTTCTTCTGAATTTATTTCTAAGGAGAGATTCAACATTAAGCATTCAGACTTGTATATGTGTTGTCTATGGAACCCGCATAGGGAGGTAGTACATTTAAACTTCTTCTTTCAAAAGGAAATACACATTTCTAGTCCTTCACAACTTTCTTTATTTTATTGTTTTAATTTATCTGAAGGGAGTTCATAGGATCGTTTGCTGCAGTGAAACTGGTCTTGTAAGAATAAAATGAGTTTCTTTCTCTAAATGTGTAAATAAGATGCAGAGCCTTTAGCCATTGGAATGTTGTATTCTGTGAGGTAAGACTGTTATTTTAATAACTGCTTGCCTTCAATTTTAAAAAGTTCCTACAGAGGCAGTGATTAAAGCTATTGTAAGATTTGTATTGACCTGGAGTAGTGCATTTTCTTCAGAGATTTTATTCAAATCCCGTGTGTTAAAAAGAAGCTTCATATCTATATGATTGTGCAATTCACAAGACCCACTTAGCAACAGCAACAAGGAAAAAGTTAATGGCTCTAACTGCAAAATATTATATTCTTCTATTTTCTCCATTTTAATGATACTTTTCTTTTTTAATATTGAGAATTGTTTTGTTTCAAATAAGGTTCCTTCCCAGAGCCAAACCTTATCATTTCTTATTCTGGTGGTCAGTCAGCTTATTTAAGTGGGTAAGCCTTAAGGGGATGAGTGAGGGAATTCAGTATGATTCTTCTGTGTATTTCCTTATGGTATTTTAATCAGAAAGTCAAGATCTGCCTTCACATCGAGTAATAATTGCATGTAATCCAAACTTCAAAATAAGAGCTTGAACCTTGGCTCTAGGCTTTTGGGATGCTTTTTGGTTTTGTTTTGTTTTGTTTTAGACTTTATTTTTTCAGAGCAGTTTTAGTTTCACAACAAAATTGAGGAAAAGACACAGAGAGATCCCATGTACACCCTGCCCCTAAACAGACACAGCCTCCCCCACTATCAACATCCCCACCAGATGGTGTGTTTGTTAGACTCAGTGAACCTATGCAGACTCATCGTCATCACCTGCAGTCCATGGTCTACATCAGGGTGACTCTTCGTGTCATATATTCTGTGGGTTTGGACACATGTATAATGACATGTATCCATCATCACAGTATCACAGAAAAGTCTCACTGCTCTAAAAATACTCTGTGGTCCACCTGTTCATCCCTCCCTTTGACCCTTGGCAACCACTGATATTTTTAGCATCTGTATAGTGTTGCCTTTTCCAGAATGCCATATAGTTGGAATTATACAGTCGGTAGCCATTTCAGACTGATTTCTTTGACTTAGTAATAAACATTTAAAGTTCCTGCATTTCTTTTCATGGCTTGATGGCTCATTTCTTTTTGGTGCTGAAGGATATTCCACTGTCCGGATGGACCACTGTTTATCTGCCCATCACCTACTGAAGGGCATCTTGGTTGCTTCCAAGCTTGAGCAATTTTGAATAGAGCTGCTATAAGCATTCATGTGCAGGATTTTTTTTTTCTTGTGGACATACATTTTTAAGTCCTTCGAACAAATACCAAGGGTATGACTGCAAAATCGTAGGGTGAAAGTATGTTTAATTTTATAAGAAGCTGCCGCTGTCTTCTAACGTGGCTGCACCATGTTGCATTCCCACCAGCAGTGTGTCAGAATGCCTCTCACCTCACCTCCTTGCCAGGCTTTGGTGTTTGGGGATGCTTTTTAGAACCAGTTGACATATTGGTGCTGATTTCCCACTATTGAAAAAATAAAGATATTTCATTTATATCCCTTTTGCCAAGGGAAATGCCACGGTCTCTGTCTGTTTATTTATTTGCGTCTGTATGTGTTTGTGTGCCCATAGCACCGTACTGCAGCTTGACCCACACCCCGAAGAATGGTGGCATCTTCAATAGGACCACAGGAGCACATGGAAGTAAAGTGCATTATTTTTGTAAGCCTGGGTATCGAATGATTGGCCACAGCAATGCAACCTGTCGACGGAATCCAGGGGGCATGTATCAGTGGGATTCTCTTGCTCCTATCTGCCAGGGTAAGAAAAGTGATTTTTTATCCCCAAACTTGAATTAAATTTATTGTTCTTATTTTAATCACATATTGAGAATTACTGAAGTGGCAGTGATGGATAAAAGGTAAGGAAAAATTGAATGTGGGTTTATAGAAGTACAAATTAAACTTTCCACTGGCCATGCAAATATTTCTGACATTTACACTAGGCTTGAGTTAGCTTTATAGCCTGAATTCAGAGGATGGTTGAACGTTCACTAGATGCCGGGTAGAGTTATCCTAATACTTACTTGTATTTCGTTTTGAAGTAAAAATACGTTATTCGATGTAGACTCAAAGGAATTTTTCCTGACAGTTGTATTAATTAAAAATTCAATTTATTAAAACCTCCTTTTTAAAATTTAGATGAAGAACTCATTCTTTGAGCCATATGCTATATATTTCATTTTCCTTTGGTCATTTAAATTTAGGGCTTGTTAAAGTTGATTTCAGTATTTCATGCTTTTTTGGGATATTTTATCTGTCATATGCATAAAAATCAAATTTTCAAATAAGGCATTTTAATTTTAATTGAAGGTTTTGGAGTCATGCAATTTTCATAGTTTTGCCTTATTGAGACTTACATTCATAATAAAATGTGTTGGTCTTTGAAAGCTAATTATGATTTATGAATGGAGCCTCCTATTGGTTTCCTGTTTTTCTCTTTTTTCATAGATATTAGATTTTCTGGTATTGCTCTCTGAGACAATAATGGATATTTATCCTAGTAACTATATGGGTCTTTAACCACCAGAAGTTATTCAGATACTTAGCTTGCATTATTTATGTTCCAGCTCCAGAAATTCTTCTTAAATATAAGACAAACATAAAGATCCAAAAGCTTCTTTCATTTGGAATGATGGTTTTGTTCTTTAAAAGAAGACATGATTCTCATTTTCTTTAAATGTTCTGTTACTCCATCTAGGACATAGACTCTATTGCTCAGAGAGTAGCCCTGGGGGCTGTGTGTCCTGTGCCCTGGGGACAGAATGCCAATGGCAGTAATAATGACAAAACCCCAAACTGGACAAGGGCGGGGTGCGGGGGTTGGGGGTGCAGCAGCATTGGCAGAAGTTCCCAGAATTGGGACCTCTAGAGCCTGAGTCACAAAGTAGAGCCCAGGTGGAAGGTGTTCTCAGGACAGAAGGCACTAGAAGGCAGGAGGAGAGACCTGGGGGCGATGGGAGGGACATGGGAGGGGCCACAATCCAGGCATGTGCCCGTGCGTCTTCCTGTATCAGGAGGAATTCTGGAAACCCTTATGGAGCTGGAGACATGGCTTGCTCTTCCTACGAATGGCTGAAAGGAATAAGATGAGGTCTGCAGGGTGTTTTTCTGATACGTTGTGACCTCTCTCTCCTGCTCCCATTTCCTCCCTTAGCAGAACGATTTAAGTCTGACGTAAATGACTCAGAAACAGTGCACCAAAACCCAGACCCTCAGGGAGTCTGTGCAGTTTGGGTTAAGGAATCTGAGTGAGTGTGATGCGTGTCTGTTCTTTGTGTTGAGCACATAACCAAGAAGCAGTGACGCTGTGGAGGCGGCGTGTTGGAATCACACAAAAACACTTTGCGTGGAAAATTAGACTCTCTTCCTTCAGGTTTCTTCTGGGAGACAAATGACCTACATGATTGCATTCTCAAATGATCATGTGTCCCAGAAGCACCATCTTCCTACAACAAATCCACAGTGTTCAACCCATTTTGTTAACTATTCTGATAACCAGGCAGTCCATAGGATTGTGTTCTTTCTTCATAAACTACGACTTATAAAACCTGGAGGGCACTTAAGAATCATCTAGTTCAATTTACTTGTTTTCAAGTATCTGGAACTGAAACCCGTAAAAGTTAAAGTGACTTATCAATAATCATAAACATGTTGACCTAGAATCCAGACCTTCTGCCCGCACTTCAGCGTTTGAATCAAATTGTTTTCTGCCAAAAGGAATTCTACTCATAAAAAAATCTTGTAGGCACCAATTCTGGAGATAATCTGTATTTTCAGTATTTAAATTCATTTACTGTGGAAAAGTCTTTTGTCTTTCAGTCATAGGTATTTACAATTTGTATAAAATAGATTTCAATTATAATAATATGCAAAATATTTTCATCATATGTGAGGCTATAATGTTTAAAAATAAAAACCGTGGTACAAAGTAAGCTTTCTAAAGTCATTTAAAAAACTTGGTACAATTACATAAACATTTTTGTCATTTAAAAATAAAATTAAATCTTTTAAAATAAGTAGAAGTAACCACACAAATAGATGAAGGCCATTGAGAAAAGTATCCTACAATTAAATAGAGTAAGTTCTATAACATATATTGGCACTTTATACCCTAAGGGTCTTTTACTCGTGATTAAAGTGTCATTAGAGTCGATTCAGGTGAATTTATGTATGTATGTATGTATGCATTTATTTATTTATTTTTTGATTCAGGTGAATTTAATATAAGATATAAATGTGTGATTGCTATAGTAGTTAATAGGGGGAAATTTGATGTGTTCAGCATTAATTATTCACTTTCCTTTGTTGCTTATAGAATGTAAAACTTTTATGTAATATAAACATCTGACTTATAGAAAGCCATTGGCCTCAATTGATACAGTCAGGTGGAGGCTTTGTGGATTATCAGTTCCGTTCTTTTATTTTTTTATTTTTACTTTTTATTTATTTATTTATTTTATTGTTTTATTTGACAGAGAGAGACACAGCGAGAGCAGGAACACAAGCAGGGGGAGTGGGAGAGGGAGAAGCAGACTTCCTGCTGAACAGGGAGCCCGATGCGGGGCTCCATCCCAAGACCCTGGGATCATGACCTGAGCCGAAGACAGACGCTCAATGACTGAGCCACTCAAGCACACCCAATTTTTATTTATTTAATTTATTATTTTATTATGTTCAGTTAGCCAACATACAGTACATTATTAGTTTTTGATGTAGTGTTCAATGATTCATTAGTTGCGTGTAACACCTAGTGATCATCACAACAGGTGCTCTCCTTAATACCTATCACCCAGCTACCTCATCCCCCCACCCCCTCCCTTCTGTAACCCTCAGTTTGGTTCCTAGAATCCAGAATCTCTCGTGGTTTGTCTCCCTCTCTGATTTCTTCCCATTCAGTTCTCCCTTCCTTCCCCTGTGATCTGAGCTATTCCTTATGTTTCACATATGAGTAAAACCATATGATAATTGTCTTTCTCTGCTTGACTTATTTCACTTAGCATAACCCCCTCCAGTTCCATCCATGTCGATGCAAATGGTAGATATTGATCTTTTCTGATGGCTGAGTAATACTCCATTGTATATATGAATCACATCTTCTTTATCCATTCATCTGTTGAAGGGCATCTCAGCTCTTTCCACAGTTTGGCTATTGTAGACATTGCTGCTATGAACACTGGGGTGCATGTGCCCCGCTGGATCAATACCTTTGTATCTTTGGGGTAAATACCCAGTAGTGCAATTGCTGGGTCATAGGATAGCTCTATTGTTAACGTCTTGAGGAACCTCCACACTGTTTTACAGAGTGGCTGCACCAGCTTGCATTCCCACCAACAGTGTAGGAGGGTTCCCCTTTCTCCACATCCCCGCCAACATCTGTCGTTTCCTGACTTGTTAATTTTAGCCATTCTGACTGGTGTGAGGTGGTATCTCAGTGAGGTTTTGATTTGTATTTCCCTGATGGCTAGTGATGTGGAACATTTTTTCATGTGTCTGTTGGCCATTTGTATGTCTTCTTTGGAAAAGTGTCTGTTCATGTCTTCTGCCCATTTCTTGACTGGATCATTTGTTCTTTGGCTGCTGAGTTTGAGAAGTTCTTTATAGATCTTGGATACCAGCCCTTTATCTGAAATGTCATTTTAGTTCCTTTTTTATATTAAATCATCTACTCTGTGTTCTGTATCAGGCGAGGAAGTTTCCCCTGTCAATTCATAAATGTGTTGAGTGTACGTGCTCAGCTGTAAGGAAACAAAATGAATGAGACCTGTTTCCTCCCTTCAAGAAAATCACCACCTAACCATGAAAACAGATTTATAAGTTATGGCAGTGAGCACCATGGATATCATGAACTAATTTATATATATATATATATACTATGTTGCATTCCCACCAGCAGTGTGTCAGAATGCCTCTCACCTCACCTCCTTGCCAGGCTTTGGTGTTTGGGGATGCTTTTTATACCCATTCCTTCCCTAAAATACATATTTTCGCTCATTCAAAACTTACAAAATTTGGTCTAGAACAAGGACATAAAAAAAATGGCATAGCCA